AGATGAACAGTTAAATGGAAGTGTAACTGAATTTGAATATTAAGATGTCATTTTTTTAGAAAGTGAATTTTTAAAGAGAAATGAGATAAATCATGAAATATCTCTTTATGAGATTGAATAAGCAAATGATTTGTTAGTTCCAAATCAACTAATGCATGTTTCTAATCAAGAATTAACAATATCTTATCTAAGTGGAAGCATGACTAAAGATGATGATTTGGTAAATTAGTTTATTAAGAATCACAATTCAGGCGAAGTAATCGTAGAAATATTCATCGACATCATTTAAACATAAAAGAGAAAACTATGTTTTGAAATTGGTTGATCTTCCTAAAAGACGCAAAACAGTTGGAAACAAATGGGTTCTCAAGATTAAGCATAAGTCAAATAAAACAACTGCAAGATATAAAGCCTATTTGGTAATGAAAGGGTATACTTAACAAGAGGGAATTGATTATAAAGAAACTTTCTCTCTTGTTGGGAGATTTACCTCGATATGCTTAATACTAGTTATTGTAGTCAATGTGGATTTGAAGTTACATCAAATGGATGTGAAAATTATCTTTCTAAATAGAGGACTGAAAGAGAAAATTTATATGGAACAACCTATAGGTTTCATTGATAAAGGTCAATAGCACAAAGTGTGCTGGCTATTAAAATTGATTTACAATCTTAAACAATTTTCTAGGTAATGGTATATTAGATTTCATTAAGCAATAATTTTATATGATTTTATCATGATTGATGATGACCACTGTGTGTATGTCAAAAAAATATAAAGATAAATTTATGATTTTTGTCAATTATATGGATGACATACTGTTGGCTGGCAATGACAAGGAGTATATCATAAAAGTGAAAATCTAGTTGTCCTCAAATTTTGAAATGAAGGATATAGGCGAAGTAGCTTACATATTTGGTGTAAAAATCATGAGAAATCATTCCCAAAAATTGTTATCTTTTTCATAAAAGCAATACGTAAAGAAAATTTTAGAATGATTCAATATGTAATACTGTAAGATAATAGATACTTTTATGACAAAAGGTGAAAGCCTTAGTTAGAGAATATGTCCTAAGACTCTACATGAGAAGGAACAAATGGCAAAAGTTCCTTACTCTAGTGTTTTTGAAAGCTTTATGTATGCTATGATGTGTACAATGTCGAACATCTATTATACCATGGACATGATAAGCAGATATCAATCCAATCCAAGTCAACCCCATTGGAAAGTCGTTAAAAGGATATTGAGATATTTGAAAAGCATTATGGATTATTCATTGTGTTATCAGAGAAGAGATTTGCATTTGGTCGGCTATATAGACGCTAATTGGGAAGGAGATTTAGATGAAAGAAAATATATCTTTGGCTACATTTTCTTACTGAATAGTAAGGCTATTTCATGGAGCAGTAAAAAACAAACTTGTATAGCACTATCCACGATGGAAGCTGAATTTGTAGCATTTTTAAGGACAGTGTAAGAGGTTGTTTGGCTTAAGAGATTTTTGAATCATTTAATATTTGAAAAGGATGAGTCTAACTCAATGTTGGTGAATTGTGATAGTCAAACTACAATCATATTTACAAAATATCTCAAATATTATTCTAGGACCAAATATATAGATACAAAGTATAACTACGTGAGGACATGATTGCACACAAAAAATCAATATGTGGTACATTTCTACGTATAAGATGATTGCAAATCCATTTACTAAGCCATACTTAGAGATGTGTTTAATAGTCATATGAGATCTTTATGATTACGTAGATGTTAATGTACATGTACTAATTAAAACAATTCTATATGAACAATATATGATATTTTTTCATTTAAGTTGACTTATATTGAATACAATTAATGCCATTAAAGTTTAGTAATTTGTTTTGAGATGCATGTACACATGTATATGTATATGTACATATACCATGTGATTCAAAAAATATGTCAAACAGATAATTGGCCTTCTCACACAGGCAATCACCTCAATGGTTTGGCACCATAGAGATGAGATTAGTTTTAAGCTATGGATCAAGAGCCCAAGCTTAAAACGAAATTGCCTTGATAAATGATCATGATGAGGTCACTCGAATTAAGATTTGTGACAAAAAATGAATAAACCCACAATTCATTTTGTCTGTTTTAACATGCCAAGTGGAAGTCTTGTTGATTATAGGAAATCAAGTAGATTTGTAGACTTAAGTTAAATATCGAGAGTGTCTGAACTATCACCTGTATGTTATTGATATATAAATGATGAAAGACATAGATTTTCCAAGAAAATTAGAGTAATACTGTAGCATGTGTTTTATACCACATAATAGTATTATTTGACCAACAAGGGTAATAGAAGAATATATTTTTTTTTTTGTGAAACCTTTAATATTAGAAGATCCATATTTAGTATCCTCAAGGACTTTCGACTATTTTTTAAGTTTTAGTTCAATATTAGCTATCTTGGATTGTTGCCAATGGTCATGGATGATTTGATCCAATGGAACATATTTGGATAGCAGTTGAATTGAAATAGGGAGATTCTAGAAGAATGGAAGATTAATTTGGTGTCACATTTGGTTGTATTCATAAGTTGATCAATTATGTTTGAAATGTCGAACATAATTATGAATACATAAATATATCATGTAATATGATATCGTGAGAAACTTGAAATGTAATTGAATGGATCTAAGGTGTTGCATACTTACTTTACTTGTACTTAAAAGTTTTTATACATACTTAACAGTTGTATAAGTGACTAGATGTGATTATGAGCTATTATACGCACCTATAATTATATAGCAATTGAGCTTTTAAGAGTAAGTTAGTCGCACAGCTTATTTTCTTGTATGAACTTGATGCAAAAAGTAGAGAAAACATTTTTGACATCATGAGGGTTTAACACATATTTTGTACGAGTGGGAGATGTTGTAATAGTTGCACAAAATGAGTGAGCATATCCCAAGTTAAGAAAATAACTGCATTTAGGCAATTATTGGTTTAACTTTTAAACCAACATAAAATTGCCTTGAGTAGTTTATGAAATTGCTGCCTATCCCATTTTCTTAAATATGAATGGCATTCCACCATATTTAACCAAAAAAAAAAAAAAAACGGACAAAAAATTTCTCACGAGAAGGAAGGGAGAAAAAGAAAGAGAGATCGATAGTCAACAATTCTCAATGACAAATTCTTGCATTCGGTGTGAAACATTTACGCTATGAAAATGAACAATTTTCATATTGTAATATTGTTAAACGATCGATAATTTAAATTAGGTTTTCACTTCCTCTTTTGCTAAACAAATAAGTATATATATACATGTGTATATGTGTATATATATATATATATGATTATTTTCGTATATATCTTGCATGTATTTTATATTGCTATAGTTGCTATTTTTTTTTCTAATTACTGAAAAATTATGTTTCATCTATAAGAAAACAGTATAGGGCAACTTGATTGTTGTAATATTACAGCTTTTTGACATAAGGTAGAATGCAAATCTTGACTGTTTTTGAACATTAAAATTAATTTAACATGCATTATCTATCTGAATAAAATATAAAATTTAACAATTGGATCAATGAAATATAAATCAAATAAAAAATATAAAAAGTATAAAACAAAATTAATTTTTTTAAACCATAAACCCTAAATTTTAAAATTAAATTAATTTTAATATAATATATGTAACTAACCGAATTCTTAGGGAAAATAACATACTTTGAAAATGAAAATTATCTAAGCTTATAATTTAATATTCAAGGAAGAATATTGATTGGTTGTGAAGGAGCTATCCTCACCAACAGGGCTGCCTTTGGTTTTTAACGTGAGTGTGGTTGCAATGGAAAAAATTTTGTATTTAGTTTTAATCGGCCAGGACGATCTATACTAATTTCTCACTTATCATTGTTGGTCTGATGGATTACCAGAAATTCATTTATTTTTTCTTCTCTCTTTTACTCTTTAATTCGTTTTATAAATATAAAAACACCTACAATTCAATTCTTTTCTTTTATTTTTTTCTTTTGATTTTTTTATTTAAAAAATTTTAAAATAAATTTTTTAATTTAATATAATCAAAAGTATTATTTGATATATTTTTATTTTTTATTAATTATTAACAAAATTATTATTTGTTAAAAATATTTTTATAATTTTTTTTAATTTTATAAATATTAAATAATGTAAAATTTTTATTATATAATTTTTAACTTTATATACTTAATTATCATTTTTTTCTCATTATAATTTATTTCGAATATATATTTCCTCACTAATTTTAATCACATTATTATAATAATTAATTTTATTTTTATTATTATTTCCAATCAAATTAAAAACAATCCTATTATCATCCACACTGACTCAAGCTAGTGCTTTAATCTTTGCTAGTTTGGTGAAAACAATTATTCCTGGAGATAAAATAATTAAAAGAGAGATGCCACGTGCGTGGATCTCTTTCTGTTGTTAACCTTCTGAAGTGGTCCCCACTTTTGAGCCACACGTTTTTGCCCGTCAAATGCATGTCACGTGGGCCTACACTTCCACTATTTTATTTGTTACCCCATTTAGTTTTTCAAAGGCCCCTCCTTAGTCCCTCACTCCATCTTTGATACCGTCACCCGCAGGCTCTACTCACGTTACGTGCACACGCTTTTTCACCGGTAACGCCGGCTCTTCACCTATTTCCCGCTCCTAGTCAAGTCAAGTCCGAAGCGTCAAGGGCATTTCGTCCGCAGGAAATTCACCTTTTAAAAGTGCTTTTTCTCTGTGGGAGTGTGTTTGTCAATTTTAATTTTTGATAATTTTAAATATATAAAAAATTTATGATTGAGTCACATTCCTAAACCTTCTTTATGAGATAAAGAAATTATTTGGGTGGGTTGATCTATTGAGGGTTTATCTGTATACAAAAGAAATAATAAAAAAAAGTACTGACAAGGTTGAAATCATCCACGTGTCGGTAAAAGCAGTAGGTCGATAAAACCTGGAATCCTTAACCACAGTCGTGACGCCATCAAAGCTCAACTCTCACAGTTTAAATAGGCAAAAAAAATTTTTAAAAAAAGGGCAAAGCTCTTTTCTTAACTACTGTTTACTCAGAATAGCAGAGAAACTAGGTTGACTCTTTGTCTCTCGTTGATTTCGATTTTATCTTTCTCAAAAAAGAATCCCCAAAATCTAGGGTTTTGTTTTTGTTCTTCTCGTTTAACCGGTAAGTGTCTTTTTCAATGTCCTTTTTTCTCTTTCCTTTTTTTATCGTTTCTTAAATTGTGATTGTTTTCGGTTGTTTCTTTCTCCTTTTTTTTTTTGGTAATTTTGAAAGTGGAATTGCAACTTGTTTTTTTTTTAAGTTTTGAGAATATGGGGTTTTGTTTTGGTTTGGAATTTTTTTTTTTGAGTTTATTTTTGGGGAGAATTAGGTACTTGGGGTTTGATATTTGAGCTTTCAGCTGTTGAATTTGATGAATTGAGGTGATCTTTAGGGTGAGAATTTTTGGGCTTTGTGGGACAAGACGAGAAATGATTTTTTCTTTTAAAAAATTTAAATTGATCGATTCCATGCAGAACAAGAAATAAGAGTTTTGAATTATTGTAGGAAATTTAGGGAAAAAAATTAGTGAGGAAACGCAAAGCTTGGAGGAAACTTTGAAGAGACCAAGTAAAGAACTTTGTTGAGACAGCAAAAGAATTTTGCAATCTTTTTAATATTTTGGAAAGCTGCAAAAGTGAAAAGACTTGGTAATGATAAAATGTGAGAGAAGAACAGTGGTTGGGAAATTTTGATTTTATTAGTAATAAAGCTCAAAATCCTTGATTTATTTTTGGATCATTTGTACTGGTTTGCTTACTCCATCAAATTTTGAATATAGAGCAAGTAGCAAAAGCAGGCGGTACCATAACAAAATTTACTAATATCTTCTTCCGCATTTTGATAGCCATGATATGGACACAAAATATATTAATTTTGCCATCAGGAAAATTAATCAGTTCTGGGATATTTTGTCTATATGTGTGGTCAAATTTTTGTGGTTTTTGCTTTCATTTCCTTTTTTTAAAACAAAATTTGCTTTATTATTCTGGTGAAATGTGGAAATCTCTTTTTCTACTTTTCATGTTCTTTTCATTTTCTCTATCTGCTTAAGGGAAAGACTGTAACTTCTAGTATAAGGCATTTTGTGCTGGTTCTCTGTTAAGTGCGATTCATAACTATGTTTTGCTTTGTTTTGTTTTTGACATGTGCCATTATATCACAGAGTAATAGGAATTAGTGTTTTTGAAGGACAAGATTCCATGTTTGTATGTTTGGAATTTTTATTTTAAGCTCGATTTGTTCTGTATTTTCATGGATGTTGATTTCAATTACTTTTATCTTTGATGTTCAAACTGGGGCTGAGAAGGGTTTTTTTTTTTTTTTGTCTGATTTCTAGATTATGAAAAGTGTTTCCTTGTGTAAAAGTAATTTATTATTCAGTAAGAAAGAATCATTTATTTTGTATTTTCTATTCAAATAGATGGCCCTCTTGTGATTTTATATTTGAATTATGTTTAATCTTCTTCTTTTTTGGAGCAGAGGATAAGAAATTGACTATCATTTGAGTGTATTGGGAGGAATGCAGTCAAAATCTGAACATGCAAGTCAATTAGAACCAGATTCGCATGGTGTTCATCCAACTGCAGTGTTTTCTGAACCTTGGTGGGGTAATATTGGTTATGGTGCCATCTCCGTAGGAGTGAGAGGAGGAAATGCATCAAATTCATCTTCAATGGAATGCCCTAATGGTTCAGAGTCGAAAGATGGGCAGTCACTATCCAGTGGTGGGCTAAATGAAGAGAATGATGTTAATAAAGAAACACAAACTACTGCATCCTCTCAAACAGGTATTTTATATCATTATTCTAGTAACGTTCATAGGCAATGATTACTTAAAAACATGTTATGAAGATAAATGTCTCAGTCTCTATGAAGCTTGCGGGTGGGCCATATTCTTCATGGTTTCTTGACTTCTAAGACTGAACATGGATCTATAGGCTATTCAAATTATATATTGTTCTAGATTCGTTTTAGTGTTGGCTACTATTTCATGTAAACCTTAGGTTCTTTTCAAATGTGTTTGGAGTGTTTAACAGACAGATCCAACAATTCAGTTAAATATGCTGTAGTTTCCGTCAGCCTAGAAAACTGTTGTTTGACCCATTTTCCAAAGCTTATGTAGAAACTGGAAATAATTATGGAAAGCTAGTTCAAGACATTTGGTCTCTCTTGACTGGTATAATTAGATATGCTAAACCTTGCTAGTAATCTTTTCCATGCCCACTATGGAGCTTTAGTTGCCTTGCCTAGCATGTCAGTAGTTTACTGGCTCTTACTGATTATTCCTTTCATTCAACTGATTTTTGGTTGGGGTGCTAATGGTTTTTTCCTCTATTCATTTTCAGTTGGACATGGTGGACAAGAACATCACAATTTGCAGCCTGTTGTATCTACCATGCCTGCTATGCGCGACAAATGCCTCACACAGCCTCCCCAGCTTGAGCTTGTCAGTTATTCAATCGTAAGTGCATACAGCTAAAGATTTTCTGACATATAAGTTAGAAGTCACATGGTTCCAGCACTTGCTATGGAATGTTTCCTAGCTTTCTTCCAATCCTTTTGCAGGCATGTGCATCAAATCCTTATCAAGATCCATTTTATGGAGGACTGATGGCAGCATATGGACATCAGCCTTTGGTATGGAACCTTAGTCTGTTCTATCTATACGATCAAGTCAAGATGCTTTCTTCTATTATAATTTGATCATTATACTCTTACTATTTAATTTTTATCTTGAAGTTCTGCTGCTTGTAGATTTGTTTCTTTTAGTATTTTGTCTTTGGTATGAAATCATTCTCATGAGACCTCACAGTTATTCTGATGCTTCAAAATAGATTGCAGTTTTAGCTGGTGATTAAAGTATGAATTTGTCGGAACTAAAAGAATAACATATTTAATGTCATTCCACTCGATAAAATTTTTGCAGTCTAACTTGCATTTCAAATACAAAGGCATAACCATTTTTTCTAAAAAAAAAAAAAAGGAAAAACCTGGACTGATATTATCTTCTTGGTTTGAGTCAGAAAGGAATTCAACAGGATTTGCAGTTAGCTTACTTTTGGGCATGTTTTTATATATGTTCTACACCTAGATGACTCAAACTTTTTCTTATGATCCAAGGGAGATTATTCTTGCACGTACTTTGATAATGCTCTTTTTTTTAATCCATTATATTTTAGGGAGTGGTTAGTAATGATACAGTTTGATGGAGGAAATTGACTTCATCACTTGGTCATTTTAGTTCAAATCCTTTCTTTGAGAAAGAAGCTAAAAAGACAGGAGCCTAATTTTTTATACAATTTTCTCCAATAGTGGTTGGTCTTTCTGGGGTTTTAATGAAGGTATTATGGCACAAATTTATGCTAGTGAATGTGGAAGTGGATTGTGTCAAATGTTTCAAGAGGCTAGCTGCTGTGTTAAGATGCATTAAAACTGGTAGAAATTCAGTTTTCACTTTCAGATTTGGACATCTGAAGTGAAGCTCACTGGTGTTCTGTTGATGGTGTAAGATGCTGGTTTTCTTCCTTTGCTGGCATGTTAAATGTATTTGAACTGTTACTCCTAGGATGTATCGCTTTGCTTCTGTTTAATACTTTTTCTGGACAAGTTTTCTGCCTTGCTAAGGTAAAATCCTCTGAACACATACTGCTCGTGTATAATAGTCATTTAGTTGAATTTCAGAATGAAAATGTGTGCCGTAAAGTAGTAGACATCAAACTTTGTGAATAAATTAGAGGATTATATGATGATATGAATGTTAGATATAAATTAAGTTGAATATCACTTCCAGCTTTAAAAATAAAGCAAATACTTCTTGTTTGGTACATAGATACATACATACATATATGATCATAAACACGTACAACACAGGCACACAAAAAGAGTGATGAAGTCATTAATTGGAAATATGGTAATTGCCACTGTTCTTATTAAGGCTAGGGGTAAGAATGCAAATGTTCATTTTCTGGGGATTTGGATTCTGGAAAAAATCTTTAAAAACTCCCAAAGTTAAAGGTTTTTTTCCCTTTTAACAATTAGAGATAAACGACCTTGATGCATATTGTAGCAAGCTCTTATCTCATGCTGTGTTTTGTTACCTTGTGAAGGGATAGTTTATGCCATCAATATAAGCAAGCAAACCCATATGGTTTTTTTACTGGCCTCTGCTTGATCAAATATCTCATGTTTTATTCTTAACATTGTTCTAGCTAGCTGGGTTTGAATGTTCCAAGGCTAGTTTTTTTTTTTTTTTCATTTGCTCCTTCCTTTAATTTCTTAAGTTATCTTCAAACCAACTCCGCTGCAGGGGTTAGACAATGAAAGTAAAAAATTTGCTGAAACTAAATGAAAAATGTATTATGTTTGAAGTTCACAGTAGGTACTTGACTCTATCTTTGGTACTAAATTCGGTGCTCCTTACTTAGACGGCCAGTTTTGCAGGACATTGTTTTTTTGGAGATTTTGGATGCTTACTAATTAGATGAAAAGAGAAACATGCTTTTGAATTTCAAGTTCCTTGCAATTCTTAATGGTTAGTGAATCATTGGTCCACGATAACAACTTTTAAATTTCCTTCCCAACCACGAAAAAGAAAATGTGGTTGGTGAAACATTGAAAAGAAAAATGGCTACCTAACAAACGGTGTCTGTCATGTTTTTACATAGTACTTTGGAAGGATTTCTTTCCTTGTCTTGATGAGTTGGTGGTTTATTTCCATCCATTGGTTTGCCTTTTTTTCCCACTTTTTCTTCCTTTCTTTGTGGTCTTTGTGTTTTGGGGGTTGACATGGGATGCAAGGGAAAGGGGAAATACGACTGAAGCATGATTTATTTATGTTACCAGGCCTCAGTCGCCAAGGTCACTTGCTCTTCTTCTGTTAGTTTATATATATATATATATATATATATATATATAATGTGATAGAATTCTCTAAACCAAGACCATTCATTGTTGTAAGATTCTTCATTTAAGAACCTTCTTTTGATGCTCTTTCTAATGAATAAATGCTTGCAATGACCAGGGTTATCCTCCATTTGTTGGAATGCCTCATGCAAGAATGGCTTTGCCCAATGAGATGGCACAAGAACCTGTTTATGTGAATGCCAAACAGTACCAGGGAATTCTGAGGCGAAGGCAGGCCCGTGCCAAAGCAGAACTTGAGAAGAAGGTTGTAAATGCCCGAAAGGTAAACATTAAACTGCATACTCTTTCAGTTGGTCAGTTACTCACTGCAGTTGGCAAAAGTAACACTGCACTATTGACTATGCACTTTAAACAAGAGTTCTTTTTCAAATATTTTATTCCTTTTTGATGTCTCACATTGAATCAAGTGACTTGGTGAGAAACTTGTTCTTTTTATTTTTAAGTGTGGTTCTACTTCGGTTCCATAAGCATACGCCATCTGACCTCTATCCTTGTAATGCCACGTCTCCTATATCCTACAGCCATATCTTCATGAATCTAGGCATCAGCATGCTATGCGTAGGGCAAGAGGTAGTGGAGGACGTTTTGCAAAGAAAACAGATGCTGATTCTTCAAAACGCATGGCAGAAGAAAAAGGAACAGGTTCAGATCCTGCCCTGTCATCTCAATCTGCCAGTTCATCTGGTTCTGAACCATTGCCTACTGATTCTGCTGAAACCTGGAACTCCTCCCTCGCCCGGCAAGAAGCAAGAGGGTCCCATGTGCATGATGCGCATCATGTCAATGGCAGCGGTCATTATCAGGAACGAAGTGGTAGCATCTCCTATAACCAGGCTTCACATAGGCCTCTTGCGATCTAGTGAATGGAGGACAACCTTTCAAAAGCCGAAAGGGTTGAACTCCAAACTGTTGTCCTGATCACATCTTGGCATTTTTTTGTCAAGGCGGCAAATCATTCTTGGCTTTCCTCTTACTGCGTGAGACTCGACATCATTTTTGTTTTGTCGCTGCTTCGTCATTTTTCCCAAGTTGCATTTTTGTACAGATACTGTTGAATAAATAAAACTCAAAAGTAGTTGTAGTTTGTGGAAAGATTCTATAACAAGAAGAACGCACCTAGGTTTTCCTTTTGTCGTTTTCAGTTAAGACATTTCCTTTTGACAAATCTGTAATTTGTATATAGCACTTTGTAGATTGGATTAGCAACGCTATGAGTGCATTTTCAAACGTTGAAAACGTTAGCTTTCCAATAGCCTGGTAGTAGAACATGGAAATACTCTCTTGGATTAATATCAAAGAATGGTTTTACTCGATTAAGATTTTGTGGCCCAGAAACATGATCATTTGACCAAAGGTTTCTTTTTCTTTACATAAAAAGAAGATAAGAAATTCAGACCAAAACTATCTGGAACTCAGATTTCTCATTTTAATAAAGGTTATCACAAAATAGAGCACATCAAATACTCTGAAGGATGTGCTATAACTTCGAATGACTTGACTGCCCTAAAGTCAGTGCTGTAACCTACCTTTTAAAACCACAAATTTAATAAACAACTGGCTCGCTTTTTCAGTGGATATTACGCTAATTTTTTGACAATAAAGGCATTATAATCCATCTACCAAGTCCGGTACGATCTATCACATGGTATCATTCTGATGTTGATCGGTTTTCCTCTAAGCTTCCCGTTTCATTAGCCGAGGTTACCGCCTCTGAGGTTCCCTTGCTTTCATTTGAAAAATTGTTTTTGTTTTCTGTGGCATTAACCACAGTCTGTTTCTCCATCATCCCCGACAGAGCCAGGCTTGGAGACCATTCAAGGACGTCATCAATTATGTTTGTCATCCGCTTCTGATATCTGCAAAAGCAATATAAAAACTTCAGGTCTATGAAGTCCAATGATACCAAGAACACTGGCCCAGAAAGAATGAACTTTTTAAAATATAATGAAAAGCTAAAAATACCAAACAAATGCGGGAAAAAAAAAAAACACTATAAATGCCAAAGACTACAAACGACCTCATAATTCTAGATTAAGCATGAAGATGCTTTTCACCACCAAAATAGATACCAATAGATGATGATAAACGAATTTCAGTTGAGAATATTATCAAGCAAATATGGTCAAGTGATTTTCACAACCATATCGCCCTTTTAAAGCAATAAGATAATTCAACTGCCCTGTGAAACAAAAAAAAAATGTCCTTAAATAAAATATTTAAAGAACAGCAGACTTGGAACTAACCTTGCTCTAGCAGCCTCGTCAGGGGCATGGTGCCTTAGCAACAATATGACCAAAACAGCCACTATTGCATAAAACAGTCTTGCTGTCCATTTTGGTTGCTCTTCTTCGTCTTTTTTGGGCCAAAAACGGAATAATTCTCGCAATGTTGCTTCCTCAGCAAGGATGTTAGGGAAGAACCAAACACGCTTTCCAAGAATGATCCACACAGCACCAAATATCATAGCTCTCACTGGAAATTTTAAAATTTCAGAGAAAATAGTAAGGAAAAAGCAAAACATGCAATTTTTTTTTTATCAAAAACAGAAGACACGTGTTAAAACCATATCAATTTAATAAGTGTGGATCCTATATAACTAATACTCACACACCCTAACTCTCCCGTGTAGGAGACAAGGTGGACCTTAAGCTGGGGCCTATGCACACAGAACGGGCCCTATATACGTGCCCACAGGCAAAAAGTAAGAAGGAAAAAGCAAAAACATGCAATTGACAAATGGTATAAAGCAGACCAAATACAGAAAGATAGATCTGGTGATTCAAACTATAACTAAAACTGGTTATGCGAATATAACCACAAACAAACTAGGATCACAGTCAGGCAGTTCAAAACACTTAACCTGTATTCACTCAACAATAAGTGCAGATAAGGGGTTTAGTGATGCACCTCCACTTCTCCGCTACATTTGATCAAAAAGTGGGTTCTAGGTCCAACAAGTATCTTTGGCTCACTATTTTACTTCCTATTGGCATTTTTGGTGATATGTTACTATTTTGGATTTACCGTAAAGTGAACCAATTGAAGGGCTTTTCCTCTTTCTGCATAGAGTTATACCCAGTTTGAATTTTGCTACTATTTTTCAAAGACCATAGTTCAGTTCGTTTCCCATAATGAATGCTATTGTTATTTCAGTCACACACACACACAAGAGACAGGCAGACGGAATAGAGAATATAATCTCTACAAATTCTTAAGTCTTTATATCATCAGTGTTTAAGGCAGATGTTTATTGGGAAGACTGACATAACAAATCCACCAACTAGAACAGAAAGGACACAACCTACACACACATCTGTGTTGTATGCACAGTAACCGAAGAGAGAGAATCAATTCAACTGCTTATGTCAAGAGGCATAATTAGGCCAAAAGTTTAGCTTTGTCTCTACATTAGCCAAAATTTAAACCTGAGTAAATACTTACACTAACATGAAACAGAACTGTGATGATATGATGTCTATAGCACCATAATCTTAGAATAACAGACATGACAACAGGACTCAGTGGCTAAAACAGGGGTTAAAATGTAATGTAGCAAACAAAGCACTGAACGGATGGAAAAAGGCCGTGACGACAATAATAGTAGAACCTTGCTCAATAGGTATGGAATTATACCAACATCATTCTCAATGCTAGTCACCACCCAAAAATCAAACTAACCACTACTGCTTTCTTCAGCCAGCATTATCCAACTGTGTTTCTTTTTTAACAAGGTAAACAAAGAAAATTAGTTTTTAATAGCATTAAAATGCTCCTAATAAATTAAAAAACTAATCAAATTACATGAAAAAGGATCCAATGCATATTAATATGAAATAACATCCAAGGAAAAAAAAAAAACACACGAAAACTTACATGAAAGCAAGGAGAGAATAAGTAGAAGAACCCCCGCACATGAGTAGAGTATTAGTAATTTGCATCGATGTGGATATACGGGAAACAAGCAAATTGCAAGTGTCAACACAGGCCAGAAAAATGAGAGAAGAGTTTGCCATAAAGGCCGCTGTTTTACAAAGGTCCATGCAAAAAAGGCATCATTTTCAGAGAACACTTGTTCCTGCAAAAATGATCCAAATATTGGCAAATCCACATAGAAAGATGGCATTAGATTAGTTTCCAAAGAAAAAAAGACATTTGATTCTGCAAAATAATCACAAGGATAAGACAACAGAGAAAGCATAAACAGCATCAGTAGTCCAATGGTTAGGATAATTGCCATCCATGCAATAGATCCAGGTCCAGCTCCTGTCTGATGGACATATCCTTTTTATTTATTCAAAAAAAAGAAAAAGCATAAACCAAATAGCCATAGCAATTACAAGAACAAATGAAAGGCTGTTTCAAAAGCCAATGTTATCATTCCAAAATGCAAGCATCTTGGGACTTCGTTTTATCTTAAAGCAGTCTTCTTTTTGTCTTCCCAAATAATTTCTGCCTTGATTACAGATCATGAAAGGCATAGGGTTTTTTTTTTTTTGTTTTTTTTGTAATAGTTAAAATGAATAATGCAAGTTTAACGAAAAAAGCAAATGTATATTACCTCAAGAGTTAATATGAAATGAGGCAGCAGAGCATCAAAGGCACTGAAATTCGGAGGGAAGTGAAGAAGGTACTTTTAAAATGAACTTTGTGGGAAAGTAATGATACTGAATCGTTATACTTAGAAATATAACGTTCTATGTCACAGGAAAGCATCAAAGACCACATAAAACAAAAGTTGTCATCTTAACTAAAAAGAAAAAGAGATCTAGTTAAAGATACGAAGCCTTGGCGCATGGGAGACTTCAGGCATGAGGAATGACCCAATAAGATGGAACAAATCCCGAGGACTTCTCTTTAGAAAACATAAAAAAAAAAAAAAAACTCATAATATAAAAAAGGTTTAAACAGGCAATATCACAGGGCAGACTATGTGTACAAGTCTAGGTATAAGCTATTTGCAAATCGTGTAGAATCTTAAGAATTCTACTGAAAAAAAAAAACAAAAAACCAATAACAAAATAAAAGAAAAAAAAAGAGTAAGATGAGGTCATAACAGGGCAGAGTACCTTTACAGGTCTAGGTCTGCATTTAGTACTAGTAGAAAGATAACTCTTTGCATATATCAATAAGATAAACACACACACAAACATACATTACATGTACACATATATACATGTTACTGTATCAGAAAATCAAGCAGCTACACCACCTAAAGTGAAAGCAGTAAATGATTTATCAAATATTCTAATGTTAAACAAGTAAAAGACTCACAGGGAAAATTTCTAAATGCGCAGGCCAGGTAGATAACTTTTTCTTCCCTGGACGAACAGTTTTTACCACGCGGTCACAGCGCACCAAAAGATTTTTTTGTAACAAACTATTGGCAATATCTTCAGTTTCTAGATTTCTATCTGACTCCAGCATTTCTTTAAGCTCCAGATGATTTTTTATAAAGCTTACAAAGTCCTTCCCTCTAAAATATTCAACACGAGTTTCCTGCAAGACAGCCCATCTAGACACCAAATCTTTATGGTCCCTCACTTTCTCAGCAAACAACTGAAACGCATCCCTCTTGGCAGCTTGTTTCTGGGTAGAAAGGAAATGATACATAAGAAAACAACAACATATAAAAAAAATCACGAATTATGATCAACAATAAGAATTGGTGAGTAGACACACATCGAAACACAAGTAACTCCAAAACTCATGACAGAAAAATCAAAGTCAAGTCTAAAAGGCAATACCATCAGTTAATCAGGAAAATTATGAATACAAATGATATTGACAACAAATATCAATAGCATCATAGATGGTCAAGCACAATATGTTATCATAACTTTTTAAAGCATTAGTAAGTTAAAATGAAATTTCGTTTCACTGAGGAAGCAACATTTTGTGAGTTTGCTGGACCAAATAATCCGAAACTACATCAACATAATTTGTTCAAATTTTTTGTGTAATTACTACTTTAATTCTATAATGTTGATTGCATTGAGTCTTTCAGGAAAAAAAAAAATCCATACAATGTCACTCAAACCCTTCACTTTTTTCTGGTAAAAGTGGAAACATAGAATAACTCAAAATGGAACATTCTAGGACAATGTAACCCTTCCAAATGTAATGAACATTTCAGACATCGGATACGGATAGCCGAGTCTGAGAATCTATCCCTTCTTTCCTTTACTTCTAAAGATAATTAAACAGAAATTTAAAAAAAAAAAAAAAAGAAGGTCCAAAAAAATGTAGTGAACTAATTGAGCTGGTCCCAACAATTAATACGAATCAATATCCATCTTTTTTTTTTTTTTCTTTTAGCAATTCAAATAAAATTAGATACTTTTCTTCGTTCAAGAAAATGATTGTAGCATATTTATACTAAGTTCATGAAATAAAAAATTCAGATAAAAAAACAAGAAAAAATCTCAAATATTAATTAAAAGAAAAAGTCTAGATCGGAAAAAAGAAAAAAGGAGCGAACCCTAGGAGGAGTGTCGGAGCTGTGATCTCTGCTGCCATTTTGTACGGACGCAGAAGATCTTCGTACTTTCTTCTTCTCTACTCCTCCTGATTTCTTCATTTCCTTCCTCCTTTTCCTATTTTCGTTTTTCCCTCTTTCTCTCCCGATGTTTTGTGTTTTATTACCACTAATTTTTCCCTTTTTTCGCTTTTGCTTTAGTTTTTGTTTTTCTCAGTTTTTATTTTATTTTTCGTTTTTGTTTCTCTCCTTTTCAATAGGGTGAACAAAAGTCAGTTTGAACCGATTAGATCGATCAAAATAGAGTGAATTCGATTGAATCGATTCGATTTATTTAGTTTTAATTATAATCGATTTTTTAAATCGGTTAAATTGATTAATTCGATCAATTTTCGGTTTTTAAAATTGATAATCGTACTGACCGAATTAACCGACTTTTTAATAATTAAAAATAAAAAAATTGAGATAAATATTTTTATTTATTTATTTTTTGGTAAAATATTGTTGAAATTATTAAATTCTTTAGTAATTTAATTTGAATGATACTAGAGTTTGAATTTTATTGAATTGAATTTATGGTTAAATAATTATTCATAATAAAAAAAAAATGATAAAAAAATCGATTATTTAACCGAACCGAACCGATTTTGATCGGTTCAGTTATTTGTTAAATGAAAGTCGATTAAATCGATTATTGATTTTTTCAAACCGAAACGACCGAATTAACCATTTACTCACCCCTACTTTTCAGTAATTTTTTATGAGTTAATACTGCCGAAATAATTCATACATTTTTGCTTAGTGACTTACGTTTAACCCCTTCAGCCAATAGGTTTCAGCCATGTCAGCATATGATGCTTTTGACCATAATAGACAAAAAAAATAAAATGAGTATTTCTATTTGCACTCTAACTTTTATTTTATATATTTCACTAATTTTTTATCCGTGCAAATGCATGAAATTTTTATATTTATAATAATGTTTAATTTAATATATTAAAAATTTACATAAAATTTTTATAGATTTAAAATTTTATTTTATCACTAAATATTTGTATCTTTTCTTTTTTTTTAATTAATTTTATATCTTTAATATTAAAATTTTTTATTTGATTTTTAATTTCATAAATTAAAAGTACAAAAATTTTAAAATAAAAAAATATAATTTATCAACAAAATTTTTAAATAACTTTTTGACTTTCATCTTAATTTTAAAAAAGTATATTAGTAAATATTTAAGACATTAAAATTTTTAATTAAATTCATTTCATAAATTTAATTGCTTAATTGGTAAAAAAGATAAATTTGTTATATAAAAAAAGGTTTAAATAAAATCTAAATGTAGTAAATCTAAATAGATCCTTGAAAATTATTAGAAAAATAGAAAATTAAGATAAAGTGCAACTGAAATTTAATAATGAAGTCGATCTAAAAAATAAAAAAATTTAAAATTGAAGACAAAAATGTGATTTAGGAAGTCGAACCGAGAAAAATTCATTAAATTTTAAACTATTTCTCGATCCTTTAAATATTTATCTTCTTCATGTATACATATACTCATAATCAGAAAAGGTCAATTCATTCATTCTAATAGAATAAAGTTTAGAGTATGAGCAATAAAACTTATATATGTTAACCAAAAATTACAAGAAAATAAAGAAATAAAAACCTTTTTTAAAAATAAATCACATATCTCAAGGAAACAAAAAAAAATGCTTCTTTGTTTTTTTCTAAAAACATCCATTGTTTATTTTTATTGATCTTATAAATCATTGTAAAAAAAAAATAAGAAAGGCAAATTTTAATGGAGGAGATAGAGTTTTGAAAAAAATATGAATGAACAAAATACTTTTAGATAAATAATTTGAAGAAATCTAGAATAAGAAGAGTAAAGAAATGAGTTTTAAATGAAATAGGATAACAAAAATCTATTATGTTTTCAATTTTACATCAAGTATTTTAAAATATAAATAGTTAAGCATGTTTTTATCTATTTATTTAAATTGATTTTTTTTGCTTCCTTAATTGGAGATTTAAAAAATGAATTAAGATAAATATTTTTAAGTCTTTAAACCAAAACTTTTAAATAGTTTGAATTTAAACAATTTGAATGTATTTAGATATATCTAGATTTAAAAAGATATTTAGATATATTTTGAATATTTAATATGATTTAATGATTTAATTTGAAAGTTTTTTATTATTGATTATTTTGAATAATATATAATTGGCTTTAGATATATCTTGATTAAAAGAAGAATTTAAATATAAATCAATATTTATATATTTTGAATATTTAATTTAATTTGAAAGTTGTTATTATTGATTATTTTGAACAATATATAATTGAATGTAGATTATTTGAAATAAAAAAGGATTTAAATTCAAATAAATAGTTGTAGAGTTTGGTCTACTCAAAAATGATAAAAATTAGCCTAAATATGACATTTAAGCTTATTAAAATGAATTTGAAAATAATTACAAAAATTATTTAAAAAATATTTTTCAAAATCATTATCATTACTCAAATTTAAATAGCTATTCAAAAATAATTTTGATGAGAAAGGAGATTGGAAATAATGATCATATAAAAATTTTGATTTTGAAAAGAAATATATATATATATATATAATTAACAACCACCATGAAAAAATTAAAATGATTTTCAAACAATACAACAATAAAATTATCATAACTGAAAATAGACTCAATTTCATAACATGCAAAAAGATCCAACATCAACCAAAATGAAAGGCAAGATATTCAAAATAAAAGTAGCAAATCCATCTAATTCAATAATCAAAACCACCCAATTTCAAATTCAGCCAAGGAAAAAACACAAAGCTTTCTTTTCAAAGAAACAATGAAAGAAAGACTCTGTTTTCAATTATTTAAAAGCTAAATTGTGAGAAATAATGAATAAAGCCAAAAAGGTATACCCAAAATAGGTGGTGAAAGCACAAATCTTTCTTTGACAACATTGTAGAGCAATCAAACTTAAACCCGAGATTAAAAGAAAAATACGTGTTAAAAGAAAAGTGAATTAAAATAAATATTAGTTTTTATAAAAGTAAAATTATAAAAATAACTGTATACCTTTCAAAAAAATTGTAAATCCAAAAAAATAAGTGTGCAACACATACCATTTATAAGTTTTGTAGGTTTATTCAGGTTTATTGCATAATAATTAAAGTACATAGATAATTTTGATTATAAAATGTTTACATTTTTTTAAATGTTTAAAAATATAATAAGAAATATTTATATTTTAAAATTTTAAAATGTTTAAATAAAAGAATATAAAAAATTTTATGAAAGTAAAATTATTCAATTTTGAGATTTTAAATGTTAAAATAGAAATATATCTAGCTAACTACTCAACAACAACAACAACAATAATAACACACTAAACCTTATATCACATACTCTAGGTTCAGCTATATGAAAAACCAAATAAGAAAATCAAGTTAGGTTGTAGTTTGAATCTTCTTACGTCACTTAAACAACCATCTTTTCATATAATTTTTTAACTATTATATCATTTTTTATTACTTGCATCTATATCTTTCGTGGTCTACCTCTAAATGTTTTGATCTCTCCTAAATCTAAAGACTTAATTCTCCTAACCGATACATAGCTAGGCCTATGTTTTACATGTCCTAACCATCGCAAATGGCGATGGCCCTCTTTCATCTTTTCTTCAATTCAGACTACCTCTAATTTTTCTCAAATCTCTTCATGTTTGATGTTATCTCTTGTAGTCTTATCACATATCCATTTAAGCATCCTCATCTCCATTACGTTTATTTTCTTCTCATGTTGTTTCTTAACAGCCTAACACTCAGTTCCATATAGTAATGTAGATTTTACAGTTGTTTTATACAACTTCACTTTTAACTTTAAAGGCATGTTGTAATCACACAACACACCCGATGTACTTCGTCACCTCGCCAATCTTGCTTGAATCTTATGTTTAATATTTGCTTCTATCTCAGTATCAGTCTAAATAAATCGATCCAAAATATCAAAACTGGCTACTCTTTGGTACTCCTTCACCATCCAACTTAACCACAATGGTACTCACTTCTTTATGACTACTAAATTTGTATTTCATATATTCAGTTTTAAATCTATTCAATTTAAAATCTCGAGACTTCAATGTACTCATTCATAATTCTAATTTCGTATAAAGGGAATCACAAGTTTTAGCAACTAAAACTCTATCGTCAACAAATAACATACACCATGACACCTTATTTTGGATACGTCCAATGAGCTCGTCCATAACTAGTGCAAAAAAAAAAAATGACTTAGTATTCAACCTTGATGTAATCCTAAGATAATAAGGAAGTTATTTGTCATGCCCCTAACCGTTCTTACATTTATTACCACTTCTTCATATATATCTTTAACTATGTTGATGTACTTTAAAGGGACTTCTTTCTTCATTAAGACCCACCAAAGCACCTTTCGAAAAACTCTATCATATACTTTCTCCAAGTCAATAAATGTCATATGTAGATTTTTTTTTCATCTGAAAACCCTCTAATAAAAGCTTCAAAAAGTAGATCACCTCTATTGTGGAGTGTCCTGGTATAAATCCAAATTGGTTTTCGAAAATAGTGACTCACGTCACAACCTACATTTAATTACTCTCTCTCAAAGTTTTATAATATGACTCATAAGTTTTATTCATCGATAGTTTAAACAATCTTTTACATCACCTTTTATTCTTGTACAAAGGCACAAAAGTGCTATTCCTCCATTCTTTTGGCATCTTTTAGGTACGCCAAATTTTGTTAAAAATAATTTGTCAACCATCTTATCCTTATTTCATCCACGCATTTTCAGATTTCAATCAAAATTCCATCTAGTCCTATAGCTTTCTTTAATCTCATTCTTCTTAAAGTCTCTTTAATCTCATAACTTTTAATACTATGCTTAAACGCACAATTTACATCCTGATAAGGCATGTTCAACCTACCTATATCATATTCAAAACTGCTATTAAAAAGATTATCAAAATAATTTTTCTCTCTTTTTAATATCTTCATCCTTCATAAATACTCTTCCGTCTTTGCCTTTGATGCATCTAACACCATTAAGATCTCCACTCTTTTTATTCCTCATCTTAGCAATT